AAAGACCTGTAAGTAAATTCATTGCTTCTACACAGAAAGCAGGCAGAGTTAAGGTCTCCTACCTTTGCGTTTTTAAGTGTTAGCATGAAAATCAGAATGGCTGTCATACTTTAAGACAGAATTGAGACTCTGGAAAGAGAGGTGCCTCCAAGGATAAACTAAGATATTAGATCACCTATATCATGCTGTGGAGCTGACCCTCACAGCATGCATTCCTCGCCAGGGTATTTCAGGCATGCAAAGTTGGGCAGAGAGAATTCAGCCCTGGGTAAACAGCAGAGATTAATATTGATATAGTAATTGTAGCAATGTGTGATGTGTTGGAAGTGAACACATGGGTCCTGTGATTGATTCAGGTCTGTGAGCCACATGGAGAACAGGTGAAACGTGAATTTCTGAGAGTCAAACCAAGCCAGGCTAAGGACACTGATTTTGTGGTCAGACATAATACACATCAACTCATCTCCCTAGTCAAAAACAGTGCAAAAGCATAAAAACCTGTGCATCTTAGTACAAAAGCTTTTCCCCTTCAGTCAGTGGAGTGACTTAAGAGTTAGTCTGAGATCAGAATCTGGCCCTCATGGGCAGATTTGCTCCTACAGTAAAAATGTTCATTTTTTCTTACAGCATGGAAGTATCTCCTTGCCTAGAGCCCAGCTACTGCTTGCAGAAGACAAGGACATTGAAATTCAGCCTGCACGAAGCAGAGGATGTGGGGCTTGTGAAATACATGCCCAAGTCTTTGCTATTGCCCATCAACACATTTGCAGGTGTCATTCAGTGACGAAGACAAGAGAAAACACATGAGAGAGGATGTGACACTGGGCCATCGTAGAAGAAATGGAGAAAGAAAATACACTAAAAGTCACTGACTGATTTTACAAAGGTAATGCTACTTCTAAAGCTGCAGAACTGGAGAGGGATAGAGCTTGAGGAAAGCAGCCACACTCCGGTGAGTGACAGCGATGACCGCAGCTAACATCCCCCTGCCATGGGGCAGGGTGTTGCTGAAAAAACAGCAGTTTTAACCTTTGGTGCAAGCTCAGGAAAACTTCAAACATTGTAATTTCAGGTGAAGGACTGGGGAAAATATGGCTGAGGTGATGACTACTTGCTATGGTTGTGAAACAAGTAGGAGTTTCTATCAATAATATTTATTTTGGTGGTGTGTCCTGGTCTAACAGGGGTCAGGGCCCTGTTGTGCTGGGTTCTGCACACAAAACTCTAGCTCCAGCACAGAGCAATATATTTGGGCAAATTATCAGTTATTATTCCCCTGACATTGACTCAACAGACCTCATTGCAACCTGACCGCAGGTAGGAGAGTGTATGTCCAATGTAGCTTCTATGGAAGCAGTGAAAAACCCACTGTTGTTTCAGGGGTGGAGCACAAAAAGTAACAATAACGTGTGAAACAGGGACATGGGAAATTTGGTGCAATATTTTGCAGTGATGAATACAATAAGAACAGCTCAAGGCATGCAGGTAGCTGCAGAATATGCTCTCCACTCACTGCTTGGTTGTGAATAGTGCTAAGTTTGCTCTAAGTGCTTGTTCTTTTCTGAACAACCTCCTCTGGCAGGAGGTTGCACAGCAGCTCTTGGAGTTCTGAACTCTATTTCTGACATCTGCCGGGGACCTCACTGCAGTCTCACTATGTGACCTCCCAGTACCTGCTCTGGAGACTGTGCTATATCTCTGAGCTAAGCCCAACTTGAGTTGTGTTTTTCTAGGTGTACAACCTTGCAATCCTACCAGCAAGGACCTCATGGACCTCCTTCATTAGGTCAGATGGAATCAGCCAGTGGTATGTCTGTCATTCCACGCTGCCCTGCAGTCCTGCTTAGGACTGTGTCCATCACATGGGAAAAAGAAGAGTGGAATAGTGCAGGTGGGATCTATGGAGGGGTAGGTGCCTGGAACACTTCTCCATTCCTGGTGCAGATGTCCTCTCCTGGTTTGCAGATGGGCCACACTGGGCAGCAACAGCACAACTCCTGCTTCCACCCAGCTAATTTTGTTTTAAACATGATGATTGTGGGAATAGCGAGCGTAGGAAGCTCCTCTCTTCAATCCAGTTTGTTGCAGGCTGAAGCAATGGAAAAAGAAAACACATTCTTTTACTTTTTGAATCTGGTCTGTGCTATCTGGGGTGTCTCCAGGGAGTTATTAAATTCCCAGTGGAGAGGATTTGGGGCATTCTTTCTATGCCACTATCATCTTTTATTTTCTTGGCTCCCAGGTGGTTCCTTGCCTGGGTTGCCTTCAGTCTGAGGTGCTTACTCAGATCAGCTACCCAAAGAAAGTCTCCTCTAGCTTTCCATACTTGCACAGCAGCTCTTCCCAGCCTTCTCCACATGGGACCACTGGGGAATCTCTGGGCTTGACTTTGCACTTCAAGGTGATGCTGACCCAACTGGCTGCAGTTACCCTGGCAAATCTATGTCTCAGCCCTTATAGCTTGTGTCAGATGGAGAAATGCTGCTGCACTGGGGTGAAGCTCAGATTTTCTGCCCCAGTTCTGTCCATGCCAGGACAAGGGTGAGCTCAGGTGTAAGGTTATGGCCACAGGTGCCTCCTGAGAACAGCTCAGTCCCTCCTGCCATGTGCACAAGGCTTTAGTGGTTTTTCTCTCAGCCTTCCCTGGCTCCTGTCTTGCAAAAACAAGTTTTGCGCTAGCAGATTCCCACTTTTGTCCCTGAGCTGCTTCACACATTCTCATCTGGCATTTTGTCTGTTTCCAAGCTATAGCCTTATTCACTCTCACTTTAAATGAACAATACAGCCCAAAACAACCCACTGAAATGCACTACTAGGGGCAAAATAACTCTAGAGCTGTTGGCAGGTGACCAATATATAGCAATGTAAAGAGTCTTCCACTCTGAAAAAACATTTAATCCCCAAACCAGTCCAGAACAGTCAAATATTACACTGAGTGACAGTAAAACAACCACATCTTCAAGGAAGCAGCCCTGAAATGTTTGTAGATGTAGCTCTTTGTTCCAGGCACAGTCCCATGCAGGAGTCACCAAGCTGCAAGGTCTCAGGTTGATCCTTCAGCCCTGCTTTTCACCTTGATTTGTCCACAGTTGCCAAATTAATGCCCACCACTGCCTGCTGTAGGCAACAATCATTTCAGCCCTGGAAGGACACTGAAGTTGGAAAAGAGGCTCAGAGGCAAGTCAAGAAATGCTGCAGTCACACACTGTCCTCCATGAGCGTCTGCGCAGAGTGAAGAGGGGTTTGAGGGACTGAGTGGGGCAGTTGTCACCTCTGTCTCATTGGGGCTGCGCTGGAGGGGGCTGCTCCAACGAGCAAGCATGGCCAACACGTAAGGACCCGTGAGGCCGCGTGCAAGCGTGGAGACCACGGTTGGCTCTGTACATTTGTAAATGATGTAGATGGATAATAAATTATTTGTATAGGTGACAATCTGTATCAGAAGGTGCGATCCTTTTCATGTTGGTTAAAATATGTTTTAGAAGAAAAGAGCAGGAAAAAAAAAGGCTCTTTTTTTTATGACTGCACCAGTCTGGGGAATAAATGAGTAGGAACAGAAAGGCATTGGTGTAATTTATGCCCTGTGGGTGAAGTCCCACCACAGAGTAAGTCCCTGCGTCCAGAGAACTCTCAGGTGCCAGGATGGGCAGAAGCGGCAGAATCCCATAAATGCGAAAGCCCAAATCCGTGTCCCCCGTGCTAACTGCCACTGGACTCCCCTCTGTGCTGCTGCGGTCTGTCCCAATCACCTCAATTCAAAGCAGCGCCTAAGGGCAGCGGAGCTGGTGCAGGGGCTGCAGCACAGACCTTCTGAGGGGCAGCTGAGGGATCTGGGGCTGTTTAGTCTGGAGAGGCTCAAGGGGGACCTTGTCGCTCTCTACAACCACCTGAAAGGGGGTTGTAGTGAGGCGGGAGTTGATCTGTTCTCCAAAATAACTACTGATAGGACAAGAGGAAATGGCCTCAAGTTGTGCCAGGGGAGGTTCAGGTTAGATATTAGGAAAACTTTGTACACGGAAAGAGTAGTCAGGCTTTGGCACAGGCTGTCCAGGGAAGTTGGTGGAGTCACCGTCCTTGGCAGTGTTCAAGATGCGTGTACATGAGGCACTTAGGGACACAGTTTAGCAGGATGGTGTTGAGGGGCTTACGTTGGACTTGATGATCTTGAAGGTCTTTTTCAACCATAATGATCCTATGGGGGTGGAGAGGAGGAGACCGTTGTGAGGCAGCTCCATGAGGGAGCCGGGGTGAGAAAGCCACTCCATGGAGCTGGATGGGGCGGGCAGGATGAGGTGCCTGCGGAGGCACAAGTGAAGCGTGGGGGAATAGCCTGGATGGAGGGAGGACCGTGGGACACCGCCGGGATGGGGCAGGATCGCGGGGGCATAGCCGGGATGGGGCAGGGCCCCGGGGCACAGCCGGGATGCAGCAGGGCCG